GTGAAGGATTGTTTCCACTACGAGAAAGATATCATACGTACGGTGTGTAAGTCGCTTGACCGCACTGGCGACTAGCATGTTCACCCATTCGGTCCTCGCGCTAACCAACATCCCAACAAAGTTAACATAGCTTTTGACAAAAGTTTCATCTGGTGAAGTAGTCCATGGCATATGAATAATGGATTCTACAAGAGCGACATATCGTTTATCTAGCTGAGAAACGACATGAGAAAGAGCAAGAAGCCAGTTGTTCAGTTGTGCATAGTTGTATGGCGAGCTTGACGAGAACTGGGAAATTAGCTCTTCATAGGAAGACGTATTTCCCTAGTATTTGTATAAATACCGAGGTTTGTAAGCAACCAGGAACGAAGAACACCATACCTCTGACTTTGTCTTGAAGGCGTTATTCACGAAGAGAAGGTACATTTCCCGTTTGTTTTGCTCTTCCTTTCGGATTCTAGAGTTGGATGCAATCTTTCTGGAGGCCTTTTTGGATAGGTCGCCTGCTAAATCCGGCTCTTTCATTCGTTTGCTACCGCCAGGGCTACCTGAATTCGAGTTTGAAACACTGCGAGGCGGCATTTCCTGGTTTAAGCTGTGGGTTCGAAGTACGAGCGGCTTTTCGTAGGGTTTTTTCAGGCTGGCCGATAATTTTGACTTTGAGTCAGATCTGGATGTGGCTATTGGTCCTGGGCCTTGTTTGGTCGACGAGAGGTGCTTGGTGCGTAGGATGGGTACTCCCATTGGGGCCGACATAGTACCTTGTGATGTTTTGATGACAAGTAGATTCGGATGATGGTAAAAAGATGTCACAATCTACATTTGTGCTAATTAGCTGCTAAGACCACGGTATCTCCAACCACCCATTCTCAAAAACTTACATAAAGGAAGATCAGAGCAAATTATATTTATATTTGGGCCTTTTATGAGAACCTGGCCTCCCAAAATGTCGAAATGTCACACGAGTGGAGTAAAATTTTTCTTTGGAGAGGCCGAAATCACAAGACCTTGAGTGACGGACACTTCCAGACTTGCGTTTTCTTTTTCGTGAGACGATAGTCGCTTCAGGTGACACGAAACTCGCTCGGGAGTATTCCGAGTGGCAAGGGTTCAAACCAACCTTGATCAATCCCATCAACGAGCTCAGTTACGTTGGCCCATTGCCAAAGAATCATAATCAAGCAGCAACCCAAGAAATAACTTCGAAATCATCTAATGTACCTTATGGCACCATTTTCCAAAAATAATACAGTCACCTTGTCTCCTGTGCACCAACAGCTCGAAAACCTGAGAGAAAGTTGCCTATCTCTGAAACTCTCAGAAAAGTTGAAAGAAAAGCTGATTTTTCATTCGTATTCTCAAGCTAGATACCAGAGAGCTGTCAGACACGACTAGGAAGACTAGTCTGCCTATTGCCGGCCCAACTACGTAAATAACGGGAGGTTTCAAAAGGTCGCTACCAGCTGTAAATAAAGCTGCCGCGTAAACCCTACGAAGCTAAGTACTGGTGTGAGATTGAAACGCCTCGACGATCCTTCCAACAAATGCCAATACCGAACATGTGAGAGGGTCGACCTATCGGTGACATTGTTCTGTGATGGAGGAAAGAGCTGACCTCATTCATGAGTTGACTTTGTTCTTCTACTATATCAACATCCCTCCATCACACAGAGCCACATGATCTCTAACTGATCTAACCTCACAAAGGTTGCCCGTCATAATCTAGGTGATTAAAATTTGGGTGTTGTTTCATAGCTTAACTGAGGATATCGGGAGTTGGGCCAAAACTGTGCATTGGACGTATACGAGGTAAGCAGTAAACCTGCTTCGTCGGCTCCGACGCTCAATTAAATCCCGGACCAGATGATTAAGGCCAAGAAACCTTCGTTCTATTGCGATAAGCCTATATCTGATTGACAACCGAATACATAGTACATTTATGAACTAGAAATCGTCACTGACAACGGTCAAAACCGATGCAAAAAACCTTCGCTCATAGAATCTCTGGACGAGGAGATGATACAGGCGACTGATTCTCATGAATATACTTCCATATCAAGAAAGCAATGATCCCGACGAGGAGACAAGCACCTACAATAGTACCAACCGCGATCCCAATGATCTTTCCTAGATTCGGCCCTTGATCTGGCTGAGAAGGGGTACAATCGGGTTCAAAAGGAACGGGATTGGGAGGAAGGTTGCCAGAATTGCTCTTTGCGATACGAAATATAGGCCCAGAACTACGGTATTCTACTACAAGATAGACTCGACTGAGGAATGCTTTACCCAAGACGGCTGTATCCAAGAGTGCGACGTCCCGAAATACGTTGATCTCGGTAGTATTGGTCATCAAAGTTTTGGTCCCATCTCGAGCTATCCCACGAAGGGGGTGAACGAGTTCCTCATTAGGAATTTCAACGACAAAGTCATTGTCGAGCGTAAACTTGAGTGAGCCATTGAAGCCAATGTCCGACGGATAAGTAATTCCGGGCTCCACGATATAAAATTCGGATGGGTCAGGGAGGGTGCCGTTCGCGAATTCGGTTTCTTGTGCAAAGGCACGGAGGGTACGCTCCGGAAAACGGAATAACACATCGTCTATGAGTGCAAGATATTGGTTAGCAGGTTAAGAAGTAGGAGTAGATGCTTACATGGCTCAATACAAGCGGGTATCTGTTCACCTCTGGAGCTGAGGATGACATCCTCTATACCGGGTCGTGACAAGATAAGCTCGGTGATGATCACTTGAAGGGGACATATTCTTCTACTTATCTGGGTATCGCTAATGTTATAGTCTTTGAAGCTAGCGCTGACCCTGACTTTGTCGTATCCACCGACAATGAGATGTCCATCTCGAGGATTTGTGTAGGATGGGCTTCCAGCATCCAGCCCAAACCCCTTTACTACTCCCTTCCGGTCCGATAGTTGTTGTAGAAGTACTGAACTGTGAGATAACCCAAGATGTCCGACGTTGTGTTTCTGGCCCCCTCGAAAGATCTTGAGGGGATAGTCAGATATCACAGTATCGGCGGGGAGATGGAGAGTTATATTGCCC